CATTGATTAGTAAATCTGACGATTGTAACATGCACAGAAAAGAGTTGCGGCGATTTATCTTATCAGAAGATAGTGAAATTTCTTGTAATTTTCAACCTATAATTTTTAGTACATGTTTAACCTGCTATTATGGCAGAAATGGAAATCAAAGCATGTTTGACGTTTTTCAACAATCCGTTAATAAACTTTGCTTTTTATTAAAAAAAAAAAAGAAAGGGAGAAAATATGTAGTTGCACGTGTAGTGATCGAAATTATCATCCACTTGACAAATTGATTAGATTTGATATAATTCAAATGAGTATTAGCACAAAATTAGAGTTATAATCTTGACATCAGCATAACTTGTGTCGACAGTACAAAATTGCTTCATGTGGTGCCATGGTAAGTTATACCAGAAAAACAAATTTCAGTAAGCCAATGAAGCCTAAATCCAATGGCGTAAGCGATGATGAATTGTCTAACCCAATTGCTCCTATTACTATGTAAAGAATTTGACAACAATTTACATCTTTGCAAGGCAACGGACCACCATGAAGAAGATGTGAGCGTAAGCATCCATCCATTGTCATTGGGACGATGCATGCATGATTAATGCAAGATAATGATAATACAGCATAAAAAATCACACGGAGCAGAGGGATTCCATTAGAAGAGACAGAGAGATCACAAAGGCGGTAACAAAATGCTGCCATAGGAAAATAGATTAATTTTACATATACCGATGTATATGTAATCTAAATTTGAGTTCCATTTTTTTTTTATTTGTGACATATATTTCAGGGTACTAATATATACACTGTCAATATATATAAGATTAACTCTTGATATTGCTCGTCTACCATAATAATAATTAGAAAGAATTGGTAAAGATTATGCCTTAAATATTCAATATTGCTCTTTATACTATGTAAATTTCGTATTACTTGTTGACAATTACATGATCGTGATATTACGTAATAAAAATAGGTTGATAAACATCTCTCGCAAAAGTTAAAAGTGATAGGTACTAGTCGGTTAGCCCAACTAGTCATAGTGTCACTATAAAGGTGTCTTGTCATCAACATCGAGGCTCGGGTGAATTAAAAGTATGACACATTGGGGGTAACCAATAACTAAAGTATTCTTAATTTGAGACTGACAACATTGTACGATTCTGAATTGCTAGAATTCAATACTGGGATTGTGATGTGAATATTCAGAGTTAGCAATTACTACAGTTAGATAGGAGTGAACCATCAATCATCATCATCGTTACAATAAACTGAGGACGCGTTTGATAAAAGTGAAATTTGAAAATTGAATTTTGAATCCATTAAATTATTGAATTGTTAAATATTAAATTTCATACATTTGAGTGCATATCATATTCTATGATAAGTGAATAACTCATCACTTAATATTGAAAGTAAATTTTATCTAAAAAATTCAATATCACTTATCAAATATTTTTGAATATATTAAAATTAAAATTTATTAAATTTAAATATTGAATTGAATTATATATCCGTACATGGAGGTTGGTGTGATTCATAAACAATAATTGAGGGCATCACAAGGAATCCATTGTAGAGAGGACGCGAGTGATATCCTCTTCTTCCATCGACTTAGCGGGTCACGTCATGTGCTGAGGTACAAGCCCCCATTCGACGAGCTGTCCACCTTTCATCCTCACGTGGCTCGTATTCTCTTTGTTTCTACATACAGGTAGAAGTATTAGTAATACTACTACTCATCTAATAATACTCGTATGACTTTTGGAAATATAAACGCGGAGCCTCGCGTTCTAATCACGCTCCATCTCACGCGCTCTTCAAGTACATATCATTTCGTTCTCAGTTTCGCCGTCGCAATTAATTACTCCCACACATGAATTACGTGCAAGATTAGTAAACTTCACCAGTCGAATTTAGTGCTATTTAATTGCATTGGTGCTTCAATTTCACTGGAGATTCCAAAGTCGAATCACCTTCACTAGTCGGCCCCGTTTGGATTGCGAATTTCCTTAGAAAAATTGTTACGTCTTCCGTGAATATATTTTCCTATCACCTTTTTACCTCACATATATCAAATCGCTACAGTAATTTTTCTACAAAAAATCTAAAAAAATGCAATTCAAACGGGGAATTTAGTGCTATTTAATTGCATTGGTGCTTCATTTTCACCGGAGAAATCAAACACTTGTGATCCTACACAACAAATCTTTTGCTCGTGTTTTGAAAATATTGGTCGCAATTAATTATTTGTTAGTTTCATTATGCAAGTTACTTAAAAAAATATGAATCACGTTATAGGACTCGCAATATTTGATTAATGTAATTTGAGATTAGGTGATAGATAATGAAGTCTTGTGCTACTAAAACTGCATGGATATTCACTCAAGCAACATTTTTATATTTTACAATCCAACGTCCTTTTCTACCACCAAAAAAAAAAAAAAAAAAACCAACGTCCTTTTCTTTTCCTTGCCTCTGGAATTATTGCTAGCTATTTGTGGTGTAGTTCGTGTTAATAAAAAAGAATTTTTTTTGATATTTTACAATCCAACATCCTTTTCTACCACAAATTTTTTTTTTGATATTTTAAAATCCAACGTCCTTTTCTACCACCAAAAAATAAAAAATAAAAAAATCCAATGTCCTTTTCTTTTCCTTGCCTTTGGAATCATTGCTAGTTATTTGTGGTGTGGTTTGCATCGATAACAATAGGGAAAAAAATTGCTTTTTCATGGTACAATGACTAGTACATCAGCTCTCATGTGTTGATTTTCTTTGTTCCTTCTTAATCTCAAATTCACCCCGGAAGGAAGATAAATCATATTAAGCATTTTCAAGGCAAGTTTTTTTCCAAGCAGCAACGCAACCAAAACTGGTTAACAGAATTCATAATCGTATAGATGATAGATAGATCAAAAGAAAAATAAAAACAGCATTCATGCATATGGTTGACTTTAGATATCTATGTACTATAGTAGTTTTTTCATTATCAGAACTAAAATGGTAATTTTTTAAGCTTTGGATCATTGATATTGTTCAACGTATTTTCCAAAAAATATAATGGTCATTCATGATGATTAATGTATCTCCAAAAAATATAATGGTCAATGTATTTAGGGAATTCATGATGATTAAATAGTGATTAACAATGCTGAGTGATGCATTCGGCCAAATGTTTGAATTTTGTTGATTCCAATAAAACTTTTCATATGATCACATTGGAAATCCAACTTAGTCCAAAAGAAGAAGACATTTTCGTAACAAAAGAAGAAGACATTTTATGTCGGTGCCTTTTCGATAAGTAGTGAAAAACTATTGATGCCACAGACGGAACTAAACACAACATATAAGATATATGACGAAGTGATAAAGCTAGAAAACATCCGCACTTTAGAATTTTGAGGAAAATGCCTACAGAAAGTTGTATTTGTTTGTACCCTTTAATAGTTGGAAAAAGAATAGTAGATTTGGAACGTTAGGATCTGACAGGGCGAAAGTATAGAACTCACTGAGCAAGAACAAAAATTTTAGTATTTTAAGAAAGGGTTTGTCTAACTATTAGGATGTAATTTAGGTGTTAAATTTTATATCTTTAAAAACTAAAGTCATTTAGAAAAGTTGTAGAAGTATAAGAGACGGTACTAATTGTTATTACGTATATTTGCACGGTAAATTAAAGTGTATGTTAGATATATTAACGAACCTTCACCGAACATCCTTGTTAAAAACAAAAAAAAAACCTTTTAAGTTAAGTGTGAAAATACAAGGGAACGTATTAATTATATGTGTATATGATAAGTATATGTTAGATGTATTAACGAGTCTTCATCGGACGTCTCCATTGAGCAAAAAAACCCTTTAAGAATAAATGCATGTATCACATGATATACTGCATTTATATTTCGAAAGGGGAAGGGTGTGCTGCAACAGTTGCACATATGTAGAGAAATAGAAACATGGGCATGGCGGATGCCACCGACACAAAGTAACAGACTCCGTCCTACCCAAGAAGAGTAGCATGCTTGGTAACGACAGCTCGTTTTTTTTAATAAAAAATTGTATGTTTAAATCAAGCAGTTAATTAATGTGAGAATTGTGTTGATAAATAATTTATAAAAATTTATGTAAATAACCTATAATTTTAGAAGTATATAAGGAGTTTATAATTTAAGAGATATATCCTGACTCGACTCGAGGTGATCTCGGATTTAGATCCGATTAAACATTTTCTCTAGTAAAAAAAATACTCGCACACAATCTATGAGAAAAATTACAGTACTGCTGTGCACACACCACGCTATTCCTCGGCGCGTCTCCAGCACTTGGTGACAGTTAATTTCTGTCAAATCACGTTGTATTCAAATTCTAGAACATCTCATTTTCATCTTTCCTTTTTGTGGGTCTTCTTTAATCTTCCACCGGCAAAACTTGCAAATGGCGACAAAACCATTGCTCACCATTATATATTTGGTGTCGCAGGTGGCAAAACAGTATGGGTTTACGCGTAATCCTAGTTGTCGAATGGTCAGCAAAAGAGATCACCGGTTTGGCTATAATTTAGCATTCCCTGGACCGTCAAGAAAAGGACCATTTTTCCCCCACCCAGTGGGAGGATCTTATTTGTCCTCCTTTTGAGAAACTAGAAATTTTCTGGCTGCATATAATAATAATATTCTATGAAAATTATCGAAGAATTTGTTGGCAATCTCATTTTTTATGCATAGGGGCAATCACATGTAAATTCTTATGGTAAATAAATTTCTCATGTGGAAACACTACTATAAATTTTCATTAGATGAAACAATCATTCATCTGAACTGAGGAGGACATTTGATGCCTAATTTATTGTGTTCCAAATATAATTGACAGCATCCAAGTTATGAGTAATAATAGTTCATGCATAAATGTGTATAATGTCATAAGTTACTTTCTAGACAAATGAATACTACTTTAAAGCTGTTCATACTAAATTATAGAATCAACTTGATGAGCAATGCTCTATGAGGTGTAAGAATTAGAGTCTATTGCTCTATCAAAATATATTGGAGCAATCTATTCTAACCAGCATAATAAGCTTGTAAATCTAACTACCATATTGTTCTATGGCAATAACCATAGCATTCATTGTTTTATCAAAAGATATTGAAACAATGAATGCTATTATGATTGTAAAGCTGCTCATAATTTGAAGTACCTAAGCAAGGTTCTATGAGATGTAAGTATTAGAATGCATTGTTCTATCAAAAAGATATTGGAGCAATGGATTATAATACTGCTTTTGAGGCATAATAGGACTGCACCCTTGAGGACTCACTTGTTTTATTGCAAGAACAAAAGGTTATAGTCGCAATTGACAGGAGTCTAACTGCATTCTTCTTGCTGTTTAAGCTTCTTGGCTGGGCTTACAATGATCTTCTCAGCTGATGGGGGTTTTGGAGGAAGACATGACAACAGTGTCTTCAATTGTTTGGTGGCTTTCTGCTGTAAACCGCGCGCCCTGCTTATAGTATTGGGCAGATCTAGAAGCCAATCCATCTAAACCTTGGCACCATGATTCATTGTTGGATCCTGGTAAGGGAGACAAAACCCTGTCCAGAAAAGTGAGAGATTTAAAAATGTGTGACAAACACCATAATTTCAATATCTAAAACTATCAGATCAATCACACCTTGTCATCTTTGATTCTAGGTATAATATTCTCATCACGTGATCAATCCACAAATTTCTTGCCATCAGTGGTTGATTGATAAAGTGTCTCCTCAAAGAGAATGACACCAGAGATATAATCACTGAGGCCAGGAGTGGTCAATAAAAGTTGTTTGTAAGCCTGCCTGTTGACTTCTGTATTATCAAGTCCAATAGATGCCAACCTCTTTACACAAGTTGCATTTGATTAATCAATGGTAAGGATGCCCGGTCTTGGAGATGCAATAGATTGCTGCTCTGAAAAAGGGAAAAACTGAAAAAAAGGAAAGCAAATCAGAAAAGGGTGCTAGCTGAGCTGTATAATACATACATAGCATGCTTAGTTACTCAGTTAGTATGCAGTTGGGAGTCATTGTCCACAAAGAGGAAATACACTGTTCTCAAGTACCAGTTTAGAGTCATTTTGAATGAAGGGACAACCAGATAAGCAGAGGAACAGTAAAATAGGAAACAGAAGGAGAAAAGCCTTCTAATAAAGGCAAGCATCTTTCTAGTAGAACAAGTAGAAAGATTCATCACCAGGTTTAGTGTTTGCATGAGAAGTTCATCTTTCATGGTATTAAGATTAATCGATGTAACTTCCACCACCAGCAACTCCATTTTCTTTATCAAAAAAGTACCCATCAGATCAAATCCCCCAAAATCAAACTTCCAATGATGCTTTCCTACAAACATGTAATTGTTCAGAAGAATTCAAGAGTATAAATAGAAGTAATCAAACGCAAACCAATTTTTCAGGAAAAAATTCCTGACTCTTAGGGTAAAAAGATGCACCTAATCTATCAATAACACTGTGGAATTTATGTGGGCAAGTACAAAAGCAGGTAAGATTGTTTTGTATGGATGAGAAATTGAAACAAATTTTCCTCGATTTTTAGGCAAAAAGAGGGGACTTGTCCTCCCTTTCTCGTTCAATTTTTTATTTCTTCTATTTTGCAAGAGAGAGAAAAGGGACACAAAAGAACTAATCGCCATTTATTTGTGATCTGAATACAATTTATACCATTTATGAGGTCTTTTGAATAACTTGAATGATCACCGTTTTCACTGTATGAATATCCAATCTATAGACTCAACTTTATATGTCAGTCTTCCAAAAAAAGCCTTTATTTTTTTGAATAAATAATAATATTTCATCATTCACAGTTTCATTAGCAAAAGTTATCTAACAAATGAGACACATCAGTTCTTTATCTCTTTTGTTCATAGTTCTTTAATCCATATATCTATTAGAATTACTATCCTTCTGCTTTTGAGAAATCATATGCCAACAATTACTTGACTTACAACTCCACTTCTCCAAAATAATGGTAAAGTCAAAAGAAACATGAGAGTAAATATCCCTAAAGGCTCAGCTAGTAAAGGAAAATAAGATTTTTTTAAAAAATATACTTTATTAATATTTCGATGCCTTAAAATACATGAGAGTAAAGCAAAAACATGTAGGCACATAAAACTAATATTTAAATACTTAAAATATCAGCCCATATAATATTAACAAAAAGTTCAGAAAATTAATGATACAAATCAAAGGAAAACTAACCTAGATCGAACAGAAATTTTACTACAAATCCTTTTCTATTTTCGGACCAAAGCTGAAAATTACGAAGAAAAAACTGATTATACAGTATCTATGTTCGTGGTGTAAAAAAATAAAGAAAAAAAGAATGGCAAAAAATGCATTTACCAGGAAGCAAGGGAACAAAAGGCACCAGACCACTTTGATTTAAGCTCATTTTTTGAACAGTTACCTCCACCTAGTGGACGGAACGAATGTGGCAGCTGCAAATTTTGTGGGAAGGAACGAGAGAATGTGGCAGAGGATGGATTCAGGCAAGTTGCTGATTCTATCTTCATCAGAGCTTCCTCTGGTAACTTTAGAATTTCTGGGCTTCGAGTTCATAGAGGCTTTTTCTCAAATAGGTTGTGATCGAAGCTGTGGAGGCACCCTTTTACATAACAATCCTAGATTAGGTTGGGTAAGTCTTCAAGGGTTTCTCTGTCATGCCAATAAAACACCAGGCTAACGGGAAAGTTGGGTTCAGTAGGGCCTGTCTGGCTCTAGGAAACCAGTGACGAAAAGGAAAAGAATTCTTTAGTAAAGAGTTCTTTTTTTTTTTTGTATTTGGTTAGTGTTGATTCTGATTAGGAAACAAAACAAGGGAACTGCTAAGGAATCTCCTACCATGTTTCGCCTAAAATAAGAAGGAATCAGATTCCATCCAAAAACGTGCCAATGCGGCTGGAGCTGCCGCCACTCGCTGGAATCAGCCACCACCACCGTGAGTTGGAAAATCACTGTAAAAATTCCTTAACCCTTTTGCTGCTGTTACTCTGTTATTTTCTAAAAATGAAATGTCACGTGTCTTCTTGCCTTTTAATTTCTCTATGTGATATTTGTTGAAATTTCAATGTTCTGTGATTGTGTTTGAATGAGTTTAGCTTTCTGCAAAATTTCGGGCTGACTACTATATTATTTCTTACAAAATCTTCAATCTTTCTTGTACCTACAATCCGTTTGATAAAAGGCCCAAATGAAAATTTGATTCAACATTCTTGTAGCCTATGCGCGTGAGGGGAGCACTTCCGGCCAATAAGTAAAACAAAACGGATTTTGAAATAAGACATACATATCCTATAAAGCCGCAAGCACCCTTTTCTTCCTCCGCTTTTTAGTACTGATTCTACTTCCTTCTAAATACGCAGCCATCAAATCGAAGTCGAGAGAGTAAAATTTTGAGATCGTTGGCAAAGATCTGAAGGTTGAGAAATAAGGGTTCGTATGGGCTTAGTGAATCAGATGACGGACAATTTTTTGGGCCAAAAAAATCCGTGACTTTTAGGGCAAAAATTTACACCTAATCTATGGAAAGCTTTGTGGTTTCATGTCTGCAAGTACAAATAGCTAATAGTAACCAAGAATTCCACATTTCACCCTTTTAGAATATGATTGCCACGTGAACTATTGTTAGAGTAGTTAGTCATCAAAAGAATTTTATAACTCTACTTATATAGATTAAGGAATTTGATCAAATTATTCTTAAAAATTCAGGCTTTTTTGGAAAAATTTGCGAGCGGATGTCTATGCACCCATTTGAGTTGATGATTTAGTCCCTTCTGAATTTTTCTTGGACTTTTTTAGATCTTCTTTCCTCCTAGCATAAAGTAGGAATAGGTCTAAAATAAATTCTATTGTATCCAAAAAAAAAAGAAAAAAAGAAAAGAGTATGATTGCCACTTGAAGAGGAGAGATTAAGTAACAAAAAAATGAAAGAGAAATAGGCTTGATTTGACATGCAAGAAAGGAGAAAGCATGGCTACTGTGGGGTAGAGTAGGTGAATTGCTCTCTGTTCTTTCCGTCTGAAACAGCAAAGCAAAAATGGAGAAATGCGGATGCTGACGAACAAAGGAGCAACAGCGATGTGCGAAAGGTCAAAAATGGGCCTCAACAGTTTCCGACTGTTCCGAGATGCTATGTTCTCTTGGAGGGTAAAGTAGTCATTTCAAGTAAAAATACGGAAATGCCTTCAACACTGATGCACTATTCTGGTCAAAACTCTAAATATTGAGGCCATTTTTGGGAGAAAATTGTTTTTAACAATTCCTTCCGGCTCTAGACGCCACCATGGAGTCAGTTGTGGGAGTAGAAGTCTTGTGTTTTTCTATATAGGTAAGATAAGATAAGAAATGATGGATGTAATCAAGCATGGATGGCAATTCTAACTTCTAAGGTCTAGTTTCAAGTTGGAATATTGGCTGAACCAGGCCAAAATCATTAGCTGTTTACATTTCGAGTATTAGTACAAGGCATCCAATTCCATTATCATATTGTCCTGTTTCTTTGGTCACCAAATGTTATGGATTCGAATCAAGTGTTGCAAACGAATTGAATCGATTTGAGTTTTAATCTAATCGAGCAGTGTTTCAACTCAAATTTATCAAGCTTGAAATTGAGTTCAATCTTGACGAACTTTTAATGTGAAACTTGAGATCGAATTTGACCTCAAATTTAAATCTAGTCGAACTTGAACTCGAGCCTACTCAAGTTTTAAAAAATAAAAAATAACTATTTAATTTTTAGAAAAATGAATTTTTCTTAATAAATAACAAAAATATTAGGAATATCTATGTTATTTCACTATTAAAATTATACATATACATATATACACACATATACATATATATATATATATGTGTGTGTGTATATATATAATTGAGCCGACAAGTGAGTGGTTTGATTTATTTGCAACCCTAGATTCGATGTATATTTCATTATGATCAATATGTTTAATCGAGATTAGACGAACATATATTGAAAAACTGTATCCCACATTCAAGACTTGTTCTTAGTTAATTATTTTTGCTGAATACAGATTCTGATCATGAACAATCAGTTGTTGATGATGTTCTCATTTGCTATTCTATCTAGATTATAGTCTTTTAATAGCTAAAAATGTTAAAATTCATAATCAGCTAAAGAATAACTTTTATCAATTCTGATTATTCTTTATAATCACTTTTCATAAATTAAATTTTGCAAAATCTAAAACAGGTGAGAACAATGCCTTAATCTCATTCATAAGAACTTAGAATAGTCCAACTTCTATCGTTGATCTTGCTGTAGGATTACACCAGTTATCCTAGTGGTAGCCCATTTGCCTCGAAGATGCTAGCATAGGTCATTACCAATTGACAACATCAACGGCGACATACATTTAGGATCTGAGACTAGTGGGAGCATACACCGTCCGCTTGATTATTGCTTCAAGAATATGTACTTAGGGTCCGTTTGTTTCGGGTGAAAATGTTTTCCAGGAAAATATTTTCCTAATTTCCCGTGTTTGGTTGCACAAAAATTACTGAAAACATTTTCCTATGTAAAATATTTTCACTCATCTTATGGAAAACAACTTCCCTTCCAAACTTACTGAAGTTGTTTTCCGAAATGCATGCATTCCGCCTGTAGTATGTTCCAAACTTACTGAAAACATCTTGTAGTATATATATATATTTTTTTTAAGTGTAAATAGGAGGACTCGAACCCAAAACCTCTTCGTTACACTCCCTCCCCCGTACCACCCAACCCTCCCCCTAGTATATTCAAAATAAAAAAAAACCTCGTCATACTCATCCTATGCTAGTAATTAATTATATATAATAGAGACATTCTTTTCTAGAGAAACTTTCAGCAGTGAGAGTGCAAGATATATGTCACAATAAGCATTGCATGTGATTGATATTTGACACTAAATGACCAACAATTTGTTTATTGCTTAAGGAGATATTTTTTATTCATATATACATTTCTCCAAGATTTTTTAAAGTTAAACAATGAGATAAATTTTCTAATTTTGCATGGGAAGAAGTATGTAGTTATAATGTGTAGAAAGTAAAGATAGAGATAAAAGTAAAAATATTTCAAAAGTTAAACAAACACCAGAAAAATGAAGTAAGAAAATATTTTCAATAAACTAACCAAACACCTGAAAATGATGAAAGGGAAATGATTTTCATGGAAAATTACTTCCACGGAAAATATTTTCCCAAGGAAAACATTTTACTTCCAACCAAACAGACCCTTAGATGCAGATCATATAGAAATGTCCATAGATTTGATTTCACAGTGTTTGGGCTTTGATCTTCTTCAACTAATAAACATTTCTTCTTTAAATATGTTCATCCCCTTTTTGTTATCAGAAGAATGTTACTCCTACACAAATTTGAGTATGCAGGGAAGAGAGAGAGAGAGAGAGAGAGAGAGAGAGAGAGAATTATACCTCTATGATCTCATGTGCCTGCTGGGGATGACACTATCACATGAGCTTTGTGACGGGTCAAAAAATTGGGCCTAATTGTATGCCTTTCGTTACGGGCTTCCACATCACTAAATTGGACCTGGTTCTCAATATTATCAAGCCTCACATTTGGGCCTAAAGGCCTAGGCTGGAATAAATGAATAAAGATTTTTGACATTTTATTGCTAAGAACTAAAACGTGCGTATGGATTGCCCCTTCTTTTTGAGATACTACTAGTTTTTTGTTTTTGGAGATCACATTGACACTCCAAAAATACTTCAAAAACATTTTTCAAATACACCTAATAAATAAATACACACAAAATTTTATCACCTCTTTCTTCTTTCACCTATCACGCACCACGCACCACGCACCACCCATCACCACTCCTCTCCTCTCTTCTCCATTGCCACAACCCACTTCCCTGTCCCTCCTATTTTTCCTAGCTTCCTCTTCCTCCACTCCGTTCCTTTTCCCCTTCTCTGCAATCCCCTCCCCTTTGGTTGTCGGATCTGGTTGCCATCGGTGACTAGAGGAGAGGGAGTTGTGGGAGAGTGGAGGGGAGAGGAGAAAGAAGAGGGGAGGAGGGAGGGGAGAAGAAGGTGGCAGCGATATAGAAGGAAGGAGGGGAGGAGTGGCGATGTGTGGTGAATTGGAGTGGAAGAAGAAATTGAAATTTTTTTAAAAAATGTACCAATAAAATTTAAAATTTCATAAAAACTCCCGTACATATACAGTAAAAAAGTTTTTTCATATACAAGTTACAGTGTAACACCTAACTGATATGCACCCAAAATTTCCTCGAATATTCTAGCAATAGGTATATATTATGAATGCCATCGTCAAAATGATCCTGCAACACATTAAAGTTTAATAGGGATGACAAATGTTCTGACATTTGGTCAGATTTGATTGACAGTCTTTGTGCTGCTTCCTAATTGTGCTCAAGACTTTCATGCTTCTCCGTAAATAATTACCTCCAACTGACATTTCATTTTACATAGAGAATAATCAACGAGAAAAGTATTCCAAGAGTTACTTTTTTTAGAAACAGATGAGAAATTTGCTTATGCAGTAACCGTAGTCGCTAATGTAGTATACAACTCATGGTAGCATGTCAATTTGCTGATGTCTATTTCTAAATCGGGGTTAATGTTCGGTGCAAAGAGAGAAAGGGACAAACTTTGCAACCACTTGATCAAATTGCCAAAATATGGAATTTCGCAAGCATTCGACTCATTAGCTATGTAAGTTGAAGCAAACCGTGTTTGGCTAGTCAAAGCTGATGCTAAATAAATCGGAAACCAAAAGTCCCAACTGATTTTTTTTTTTTTTTTTCAAAAAAACAGTTTGATAAGTTTACAACGAAATGATGAGTATGTTAAGATCATGAGGGCCATGAACATGATTTAGTTTCAACACGATTCTTGACATGATTTTTCAAGTTACCAAAAAAAAAAAATTTTTTTTTTTTGCCTCTAATATGAAGTAGGAGGGATAATTTTAGAAATCGCCCTTAAGGTTTCATGAAATATCATCTAGCTCCCCTGAGATTTTCAAAATCTTGCTTAGCACCCTTAAAGTGATAGTGGAACCATATGTGACTATCAAAGGTGAAGAATTATTAATAATACCCTCATACTTAAAATTTCTAAACTTGTTTTTCTTTCTCTAAATTTCGTGCTTTTCTTTAAGAATATATATATATATATGAATTGCAAATGTCAATGAAATATAGGATTTAATCAATGAAATATTCAGTATATTTGGAGAAAAATACCTGCAGGTTCTTTTTTTCCCTTTTTTTGTGTTTCATAGTTATATTTATCTATTTATTTATTTGTTCCTATTCATGTGAAGTAATTGAAGCTCCAAACTCTGTAGTTTGTCAACTTCTGACTTTTTCTTTTTGTAATACAATTTTCATCTTTTACACCCATAAAAAAGTCAATCTATTTTAAGTAAATTATCTGTATGATATTGAAGTTGAATTTCATCTATTGCTCAAATGTATGAGTTTTACATGCCAATTGCTTTCAATACTATGGAGGGTTTTATTTTTATAAATGGTTTAAAGAATAATATTTGCTTTTACTATCTCTCTCTTTTATGGAAGTGACTATTGGTTATAACATAAATCCTTATTGACTTTCATCCCCTCACTTTTAAGATGGTTCTAATTTAGTACTTTTTTTCTTGGTTTGTAAAATGTTCACTTTTTATAGTCTAAGGGTATTAAGGGCACTAAAATAGTCTCTCTCCTCAGACATGAATTTTCTAATATTACTTTTGATTAGAAGGGTCGACAATGTTACCAAAATGTCAATTCAATGGGTGATAAGTGAGATATTTAAAACCTCAAGAGAGATAAGTGATATTTCATGAAACCTCAGGGAGGTCTTTGAAATTATCCCGAAGTAGGAATAGAAAATCCGTATTGTGGAACAAGAATTAACATCGTCGTATTAAATCTTGAACTTAAGATCTTTTTCACTTGCCCCATCATTCTTAATTCTTATACCATAGAACAATAAAAATCCATAATTTTTACTCCACTTAAGTATCTTTTAAATTCTACCCAATTCAAAAGCCTGATTTTGACTTATACCCCCATTCATCAGAGTCATTCTGCACAAGTTGATTGCCAAAGCCTGATTGGGGAGATGATATTGTAATTGCTTATAGTGCTCTCTTATCGGGTACAGAAGACGATGTCTTCTATGCTGTAAAGCTTCACTTGGTTGGTTGATTCACAATCCTAGGTGTTCTAGACATAAAAATATTCTCTAACTTGTACGGTCTTGTACCATAATGCAACCTAAATTCTTTCCACTGCAAGGAAAAAATGCATATTCTATACATTGCCTAGAACCAACCGTACCATTCATGCATCTGCCAAAATTCACCTTAAGTACAAAACTAGGAGGCAGTGCTTCCACATTATATTGGAATCCTTCTAGTAATCAAGTACAATCTTGCTGATCTGCAAAAAACAATGAAGACAACATTAATTATCCTAGTAAAAGAATCACAAACTCTGAACTAATCCAATCAATTTTTGCCTGTAGCTTATTGGCTACTGATAATTCTATGTCTTCTAAATCTGAAAAGGTCCATTAAATGTTGGGGACCATGATCGATACAGCAAAAAAGCAATTGTGAAAAGGCTAATGATGAAGCAGAAAGTTCAGATCAAAAATTTTTGGTAACATGTTTTTCTGCAATTTTCTTACAATGTTGACAGAGAGGTTGTTAACATACATTTTCCGGCCGTAAATTCCAATCCACAAATTCCCTTTCTTCATCACATTTCACACTGTTCTTTTCCAGCAAAACCATTGCTGCTTCCCGGAAATCAGCTGCACAAAAAAGAAACGACATGGTCACCCTGTATCCCCCCATCTTTTCTTGAACATGGTGCCCAAAAATCATTTCTTTCCAAGGAAGAATTAATTGTTTATTCTTATTCGTCTACACAGTAATATTGCATAGGCAGCCAGCAAACTTGTTTGTCTGAATATGTAACATTGTGACATTCTCTATTGGGCTTTCAGCTTTCAGGTCCACGCCATCCGCACTACCATTGACGGTCTGGGATTCTGTGTTTTTCGTAGTGTGTGCAATAATTTCCGATGATTGAGGGTGTCGCAAGTCCAAACTGCTAATAGTTGTAAGTAATAACACTAGTAATACTGCTTCCCTTGGATTCTTTTCTCCCTGTGAAACACATAATAATTCAATCTTCACTGTTATTCTTCACTTCGAACAGTGAACAGTGACCACAAGTAGCTTTCGGCCTCAGCCGTCTCCATACCTCTGGACTTACTGTTTCAGACGGAACCCATAAAATTTCTTCCCATTTTATGCACTCATTACTCAGCCCCCGCCTGACCACCCCTTCCAGTTCTCGGTAGCCCGAGAAATCTCCCACGTGAAAGAGGGCAATATAAAAACCAAAGAGTGCCGTTGACACGAGGTTGTAGAGTTTTTTTTTGCATGCAAATACCAAGACAAGTGTCCTTCTGAGCAACTACGTGATGACTCCTCTGGTTCCATCACACCGCAACAAGTTAAAAAGTAGAGTCCCAGACCGCATTTTCATTTACTTCTAAAATTTTAGAAGAAGATTAATGAGATTTTTGGTATTTTTTTCCCTTGTCTCCCTGCTTGACACCTCTATGTTTTGCTTCCACCACGTGTTTCGTGGTTCCGTAACGCCTATTTACTTTTCTTTGACCTCAATCTTCACGTCCAGCTCTCATTGTACCTTGTGCGATGTTCTTGATCTCTTCAAAATTTTCCATCAATTTCACTCAAATTGATGCTCTCATTCTCCAATTCTTGTCCCAAGCAAAATGACATGATATTTTTCTACAAAGGTATCCTGGCAAGTTTTCGAAGACAATAAAATGTCCTCTAGATCAATCAATTTTCGACTGTCAGTGAGCGTAAACTGAGTGTAAATTTTTTGTTATTCCAATTTTGGTACAATGGCTTCAATTCTTCGGTTCAGGAAGCTGTGCATTTTAGTGCCTGTCAAGTGTTCTCCAGTGAGCTACGAATCACATGATGCTCCTGAGGCAGAAAAGAAAGAGGACAGTCCAATTTCCGCAGTTGAACAAGTTTCTGAGAAGCCACAAGTGAAAAAGAATAAGAGGCAGCCAAAGCAATGGAGATGTATAGATAAATGTTGTTGGATAATTGGATACATTTGCACTACTTGGTGGCTGATCCTGTTTTCATTCAATTGCTTAACTGCTAATTTGCCTGGGCTAAAAGTGCCTGAACCTCCTGGTGCTAGACTCAGACGAGAAGGCTTGACAGCTCTCCACCCTGTTGTTTTGGTGCCTGGGATTGTTACAGGAGGCCTTGAACTCTGGGAAGGGAAGCCTTGCTCTGAAGGCCTGTTTAGGAAGCGGCTTTGGGGCGGTAACTTTGCTGAAATATTCAAGAGGTTTGAGTTGCATTTCGGAATTTCTGTTTGTTTTAGTTTTAGAGGTTTTTGAAAGTTACATTGAGGTAATGACACTCAGTTCTGGGAATTTGTTGTGAAATTTAGGCCTTTATGTTTGTTGGAGCATCTCTCTTTGGACAATGAAACAGGGCTTGATCCTCCAGGAATTCGAGTTCGTGCTGTTGCAGGACTGGTTGCAGCTGACTATTTTGCTCCTGGTTATTTTGTTTGGGCTAACCTAATCGAGAATTTGGCAAAAATTGGCTATGAGGGTAAGAATATGTATATGGCTGCTTATGATTGGAGGCTATCCTTTCAGAATACTGAGGTACTATTTTCCTCAATTAGTCATTCTCAATGATATTTTGGACAGATATTTCTAGACTAAAGTTGCTCCCTGTTTTGGTCTCTAGCAGTCCGATAGTATGTTCATCAATCATTATACGAATTTAAGCATTTGTATATGGAGTACTGTCATAAATCATTGAAGGGGCGATGCTGGTGCAGAACTAATGCCTTTTAATGCTGCACCCGAAAATAAATATTAGTAACACTCGGAAAATAGTTAGACGGGAAGCCTTATTTTATTATTACCCATATGCCTTCGTGTCCCATACTAGACGAATTAAGTAGCAATAAATAGAGCTATGATGCAAATTCTGTAGCCCTGTCTGCATGGACATGTTTTTTTTTTTTACTGTTGTCAAAGTGGCTTTCTAATATATACTATCATTTAGAACTGTTCATTATGCGGCTTTTGAGTTAGCAGCCAACGACCCTCCTAGGTTGATTTTCTGCAAATACGTTTTAAAGCTGTTACAGTAAGAGGTCCATGATTTCTGATAAAGTGTGAAGAGCTGAATGTAATTGAGCTTTCTCTGATTAGTTTATGATTGCCTCTAAGCAGATCAGGGACCAAACTCTTAGTATATTAAAGAGCCAAATTGAGCTTATGTATTTAACAAATGGCCGAAAAAAGGTGGTAGTGGTGCCTCATTCCATGGGGGTCATATATTTTCTGCATTTCCTTAAATGGGTCGAAGCCCCTCCCCCTATGGGAGGAGGTGGTGGCCCTGATTGGTGCAACAAGCATGTCAAAGCCATAATGAATATTGGTCCAGCATTTCTTGGCGTTCCCAAGGCTGTTGGCAGCTTATTGTCTGCGGAGAGCAAAGATGTTGCATTTCTCAGGTTGGTCTTCTTGCACTCATCCAAGGCTGTTTGGGAGCAATTTTAGGCATTTTAATTTTCAGTAATGTGAATTTTTAGAAAGAAAACAAGACAAGGATCTACAGTGAAGTTAGATTAAAAAGGAAATGAATCTACTGATGCGAAGCTATTAATTCTATACTACAAAGAAAAATAAAAAACTGGCACTTGCTAAGCGAAAGGAAAGAGCCTTGGTTGCTACTGATATATGGTACTACTACACAAGTAATGATTACAACTTTTCTGAGGAGCAAAAACTAAAAAGAGAATCAGATTAATGAAAGGCATGTTTTCGTTAACCGTCATTTTCAGTCATTGTGGTAGGTAATTCTTAACCTGATTTTGCAGAGCAATGGCGCCTGGTCTTTTTAGTTCTAAGACTCTTGGCCTTCAGACTCTGGAACATGCTATGAGGGTTGGTCGAACATGGGATTCAGTCATTTCTTTGTTACCTAAAGGGGGAGAGACTATCTGGGGTAACCTAGATTGGTCACCTGAAGAAGGACATGTATGTGATTCGTTGAAGAAAAGGCAGCTGCAAGCCTCTGCAAGTGACGATAAGGGCAACAACAGTGACTCCAGAAGGGCTTTCCATGTAAAAGAGCTGACAAAGTATGGCAGGATTGTATCTTTTGGAAAGAACGCATCAGAATTGCCTTCTTCACAATTCTCTCCTCTTGTTTTCAAGGTAGTGTCCGTGGACCATGTTCTTCTCTGCACCACTTCAAAATTATCTTGACTCCTGTATTCAGACATCATAAAACGAGTCACAAAGTTTTGCAATACAGGTGGCATATGATGTATCCGTGAGTAAAGTTTTTAATTACTGGTACTTGATTGAGATGCATGCCTCAAGCATGCTTGTGCACGTCTTACTACCTGAGAATTTCTTTTCTTGAATTGTCTTGGGAGGCCGAATTGGATTGACAAATCTGATTCTAATCTTGGGACTTGTCTCCCTATCCACTGATTCAATATTTGCTGATAAATTCTGCAATGGCACTGATGTTGCTTTTATACGTGGACTGACTCAATGAACTAATTTTTCAACTTTCGACCAAGCACAACCTTTGAAAGCAAGTTTTGTCATTGTCTTCTATCTTACTTTGTTCTTTTATGGAACATGCAACTAATACTTTATGATACAACTGAAATATAATCAGGGAAGTTCCACCAACTCTGCCAGTGTGTCTTGTGGAAAGGTATGGACAGAATATAATGAGATGAGCCATGACAGCATCAGAAGAGTCGCTGAAAACAAAGCCTACACAGCAGAAACTGTAATGGATCTTCTCCGCCTCGTGGCTCCAAAACTGATGCAGCGTGCCGAGGCTCAATTCTCTCATGGAATTGCTGAGGACTTGGATGACCCCAAGTATAACCATTACAAGTACTGGTCAAATCCTCTAGAAACCAAGTAAGTTTGAATGCGACTCGGAGTCTTTACCTGTGCGTTGAAATCAAAACTTGTACTAATTACCATCGTTGGAGGTAATTAAAGCTCATTTCCACTGGTGTTCGGTGAAATTTGTTGACAGGCTATATGGTGAAATTCTTAATTTTCAGGTTACCTAATGCTCCAGATATGGAGATTTACTGTCTATACGGTGCTGGACTACCCACTGAAAGGTCCTATGTGTACAAGCTCACTCCTTCAGACAGGTGCAAGAGTATTCCCTTTCAAATCGATGGCTCAGCAGATGGAAGTAACAGCTGCTTGAAGGGTGGAGTGTACTTCGGGGATGGTGACGAGTCTGTACCAGTTATAAGTGGGGGATTCATGTGTGCTAAAGGCTGGCGAGGGAGAACAAGGTTCAATCCATCTGGGATTGCTACTTACATAAGAGAGTACCACCACAAGGCACCAACAAGTCTGCTGGAGGGCAGGGGACTAGAAAGCGGTTCACATGTCGCTATAATGGGCAATGTGGCCTTCATTGAGGATGTTCTGCGGGTCGCAGCAGGGGCTTCAGGTGCAGGGTTGGGAGGTGACAAAGTTTACTCTGATATAATGAGAATGTCTGAGCGAATAGATATCAGACTTTAAATTGCTCTATTCAGGAGACTGAGGTTTACTGCTCTGCATGTACCAAGAACAAGATTTTGATAGCAACCCCAGCTGAAAAATGTTGTAAACAACTGGTCAATTTAGATAAAAGGTAATGATAATTGAATTTGGTAATTGGAACTCCAATCTCCTCACCAGACCCAAAAACAGCAATCTAAAAAAAAAAAAAGAAAAAAAGAATAAAGGACTGCCCATTTGGGCTTCTATCATCACCATAATTCTTCCACTTATCATGTTTGAATATTGACTCGTGTATTCATTTCTTTCAATGGGCTAGTGATGATGATTAATGACTATGGACCCTTATGAGAAAGGGGAAAAGCAAAAATCCATTATGCTGAGAACAATCTCTTACAGCTAGCCTTTTCTCTTACCATAATCAGACCAAATTATGTCCTGTATAAATGGCCTTGTTTCTTACCATAATCAGATTAAATTATGTCCTAACTTTTACATTTGACATTAATCCACCATTTTCAAGTTGTAGATTTATTTGATATGTTCTATGGTCTGATAATTTATATTGAAAAACGTTATCTGCACTTATTTTTATTATTACACTATATAATAAACAAATGCTGAGTGTGAAAATAACAAAAAAATGGATTGCAAATAATTTTACATTGTTTAGATTGCAATTTTTTTGGAGTTTTTATAGAAAATATACTGTAATAATTTGATACATGTGAGGTAAAAAAGTAATTGAGAAATGTACACGAAAAACGTAAAAATTTTTTGGTAAAAACTGGCTTTTCAAACAAGGCAATAATATTTTGCTTTATTTTCTTCTTCGTACAAAATATAAATCACTCCTATTTCTTCACCGCTAAGGATTTGGAATTTGGAATGTTCCAAACTTATCCAGCAGTTTCTTTCCTTCAGCATCCTTTGAATTCTCGACCCCACCACCCTATTCTAGATTCCATTCCCATCACCTCCACGGTGTCCCCGGCCCACCTCCGCCCGCATCTTCCTTCTCTATAAAATACTTAAAACTAACTTCTTCCCCTATAGGCTATAGCATTCCTCCAAAACCAGCAAATTTCCGGTCAACTATCGAACGCAGTCTTGAAGAAATTGATCTTTCAATTCGGAACAGGAGAGCTAGATCAGAGAAGAGATGTGCTTGGTATTCGTCTGTGATGAAGATGAAAGAGTTCTGGCAAGGCAAATAGCACCAGGCGCGTGCCCATACTGCGGTGGGATGGTTCAAGCCCTGGATGTGGAGAAAGAATGGCGATTCTGCTTTGTCCCTCTTTACTTCAAGGCCAAACGCAAGTATTTCTGCACCATCTGCGCCAGGCGCCTCACCATCCAATAATCTCTCTCTTAAGCAGAGATGATTGTAATTAATTAGATGATGACTCATCTAATTGTATATAATTAATAACAAATACACTTTCTGATTTGCTTTTTACTTTGCTTCAGATATGATGATGATGATGCAAGAATAGTTTTGTGTGTGTGTATATATATATATATGTAAATATTTGTTGATTGTTAATCCTGAGGTTAAATGATCCGCAATTTTGTGTTTATGCATGGAGAATTAATTGATGGTGCTCTGGGTTTGTTTCTTGCTCTTCTTTTTATCTGAAATTTAAGCTCATATTAGGCTCCCATGAATAGTCCAAATTTACCTAGTTACCGTCTGAAATTGTGATTTATCTTTCATTCTCGTAAAATCTGGGCAAAGGCGAAGTGATCGGGACCATGATTAGCATCACTGATAAATATAAATGCACGCTCGAAAATATTTATAGTGAATGAAGTTTGTACAAGTCTTCTATTATTAACGCAAACTTTATTTTTTTAAAATTGATTTGACAATGTGATCGTTACGTTGGAAAATATGAAAGGACATAAAGTGATAACAAAATCTTTACAGTAAATTCCCTCCTCTTCTTTTATATATAACTAGGAGGATAACAATGTCCAATTATTCAAATTTAGATAATAAGCATGAAAAGTTATATAAAGGTGCACCAAAATCTTTAGGATTAGGTTTTTGTAATTTTATTAAGCAGCGAAAATAAGCCATAATTTTAACTTAGTGACTAAGTGACGAAAAGTCATTTTTTGCTTTACCTACTAATTGAATAGGATTGGCAATGTCATAAATTTCAAAGTAGTACCATGTAACGTCATCTTGCATCGACTAGGCTAATTGCTCAGAATATAGGCCAAAAAAAAATTACTCGCACATGTATGGCTCTGACAGTCATTAGGTACGAATCTATGGGTGTCGGGCTGACATAGCCCGGCACCCAAAAGCATTTTTTGACTCTGACTTCTCCGTCAGAATTGCAGTTCAGAATTTTTTTTTTTTAAATAAAGCTGTCGGCTACCGGGCTGACAGTGCCCGGTAGCCGACAATGTCTGCTAAAGCTGGCTACCGGGCTGAGAGTGCCCGGCAGCCAGTCAAATTTTCAAAAAAAAAAAAAAACTCCAGACATTTGAATTTGGGGTGCCTGGCAAAACAAAAAAAAAAAAAAGGCTAGCAGCGTACGTACAGGACAAAAAAAAAAGGTTGCCTGAATGTCTTGCTTTACTATCTCGTTTAGCATTTCGCGTGGAGACTTCACTTTTTCGCATAATGCAAGGAAGTCAACTCTACCACGCGGAGACTTCACTTTTCTGTGCATAATAGGAAGAAGCAATGAAAGGAGGCCAACTCTACCCTATATAGACGCACAAAGAAGTATATTCGAACACTAAAAAAAGTAGATTATTCATAGATTAAAAATATTATATATTTTAAAATCATAATAAAAGATCTTTTAAAATTTTTTTCATCATCTAATGGCCAATACTTATATTTAATAAATTTAAAAAGTTAATTAAGTATTCTATTATAATATAAGTATATGTCATTGAGTCGATTGAATAATATTTTTTTTCTTTTTTGACATTTCAACTAGTTGTTTATTAAATTTCAATTTAAATAAAGATTTTATTATTATTTAAATTATTCAATAAAATTATCAATTTAAGATGAATATAAATATAAATACATTAAATTGTATTATTGAAATATTTGATTTAATATGAAGGAAAGACAAGAAGAAATGGCAAGGAATTTTTAAAAAATTCTTGCGAGTTTTTTTTATATTGGTAATCACTTTTATTTGTTATTATAATTACAGTATGTTATCATAGCCGATTGAAACTCATATCCTAATACTATTTACAACTAAAGTTATTATATACTCAAATTAAAATTTTTTTTTTCACTAAATTTTCTTTTATATATGATGTAAGTGTTTTCATTTGTTGATAATTAATATAACGAAAAGATACTCTTTAGGCTAATATGTTTTGACAATTTGGATTACTTTTAAGGATTTTAATAAGAATTAGACCACATTTTTTATGGATTCAATCAAATTCACATTTTATTTCATTTGAAATATAATTATTTAAAACATAAGAGACGAAAAAATATGAAGTCAAATCTAATTATTTAAAACTTATGCCACTTGACGTGCTAAATCTCTTTAGTCTTTTAAGTTAATTAAATTACATTTCATGAATCGAACAATAGAAATAGATGAAAACAGATTTGTTAAATCAATAATTACTTCTATAAGATGTTAAACTAAACAAAACCCGTTTTAAACGAAAAATCTAATTTTTTTTACAATAAGATGCAGTTCTCAAATTGTTGACAAATTATTTGTTAAAATTGTTATCTAATATTTAATGTACTATATAATTTAATAAATATAAATTTATTGTGCAATATAAAAACAAAATAGGCAAAAAAAATGAGGAGAAGGAAAAATGCATAACTTCACACTGTCAAATTGTGAATACACCCAATAACGATAAATATTATTTTAATAAAATATTAAAATAGCTCAGCTGTGCCCCATATTCAAATATTTGAAATTGTAAAACATGCACTGGAAATGATCATGTCAACGGCCGGTACGCCTTTTGCCCTTGCCTTTATCACCTGGTGTTGTAGACGGACAGCAAAATCTTTTGGGCTTGCGTCTGCAACGATCACGAAGAACTATGGGCTCCTGTGGCGCAAAATCTGTAGAAACAGCATCAAGTCCTACGTCCTCCTCCTCATCCGACTCAGCTGTCGTACTGCTATCACCATCATTTTGAGAACGATACGTGACAAAATCTCCCGACTGATCATATGCAGTAGTAGATATCGGCTGGATCGACGTAGGCATGGTCATAGTCTGTCCAAGACTATAATAATCGGGAAGATCTGAAATAGGAGGCACACCACCCGTTTCGTCCAACAATTTGAAAATTGGATGTAGCTCAGCAGTAGAAGATGAGACCGCAGAAGTGGCAACGTATCCAAATGGAGGCTCGTGTGACGAGGATGGAGTTTGTCCCCCAAATACAGAAAAATATGGAGAGGGCACGGGATATGTACCAAAAGGTGGAAACTGTGGCAAAGGCGTGGCATCTAAACCAATATGCTGTGAGTGCGGGAACGATGTCACCTGAGGGGTAACTGCTGGTATATTCTGTTCAGGTGCCAAAGCATGGATATCTGTCATCGGCAAAGGCACAGATGTCGTGAATTGATGACTAGTCGGGGTGTGCGGCAACTGGGTGGCCTCTTCGGTGATTTGAATGCCCGTCTCCTCGATGACTTCGTCTCGCAACCCATGCCTGTGCCGCCGACTTCTACTAGATGATGGTCCACCTTGTGAAGGGACACGTCTCACGCGAGGACGGATAGGAATTTATTGTGCCATAGGAGGATTATGATTGAAAGAATCAAAATCACCAACAACCATGCGGTCAAAGCGTTGGAGGTATTGCATTGATCCGTATGCTCCATCAACAATGGTTGCAAGACGTGGATGAAATCGACCTTCATGTTCAAGTGCATCATGCGATTGCCGGCCAATGCGCTGCATAGTATCCATCTGACATATTCAAAATTGAAAAAAAATTATCAATCCAGATGTCCAATAGTAAATAAATTAAATTTTGCGATAAGTTTAACTTACTAAATACTCAAACTGGCCAGAAACTCCATGCAACATTTGTCCAACTTGTGCATGTTGCTGGATAGGAGGCGTAATGTACAGAATGGTATGGGAGTGATACCACTCCAGATACTTATTGGAAGGCCTGAACGTAGTTGCGGGCACACCAGGTACCTGTGCTCCTGCACGCTCATTCCAGTATCCTATCCAATTCCTATGAAAATGAGCCCAATTTCTTCCCGGATAACCGGAAAGATCCAATTGGTGTAACCCTCCCTGATTAGTGTCAACTGGTTCTGGAATTTTCTGCCTCATCCCAAATTGGCGCATGACACGATCTGGACAATGTATTTCGACGATGTGCCAGAATATTAGAGGGACTCTTGTTCGCCATATGCGCTCCCCTCGTTTGCAGTAATCGGGTAGACTAGGCAGTATATCATCGCTGTACGACATCTAAATAAACTGCTACCACAACCAGAATTTAGGCACGATCCAAAATTACTGATATCACTATAAAATATACTTGATTGAGATATAAGACTTTATACCTGATCCATCCGTAATAAGGCTAGCTGCTCCCGATAATGTGTGCTGCATCGGCTGTAAGGGTCAACCCCTGTTCGTTCGGCAGCCCATCTACCACCTCTAGGAAAATCCCCAATCCCAGAATATGGGAGTACATCAGAACGAATCACGGGAATCCGCTCCCACGCCCAAAGCTGTAGTAGCAAGTACAGACCTCCAGATGTGATTGCAGAAGCACGTGATGCATGGCACAATCGTGAGTATAAACACGCCAAAGTTGCAGATCCCCAACTATACTGACTCATGGCATCCAAATCACGAACATAGTCTAACCAACTTAAACTGACGACATTCTGACACGAATCTGCAAATAGCAATCCACCCAATAAAATCAGGATATACATACGGGCGTACTGGCGAACCATCTGATCAGAAGCATCTGCCGGTAGTGGTGCACTCAATCGTCGGGATATGGACGATAACTTTAAACGATCGTAATTGAGCATGTTATCTTCTGGCCATAAGCCCTGCCGACTGCATGCGAGTTTTTTTTTTTTTTTGAAAATTTGACTGGCTGCCGGGCACTCTCAGCCCGGTAGCCAGCTTTAGCAGACATTGTCGGCTACCGGGCACTGTCAGCCCGGTAGCCGACAGCTTTATTAAAAAAAAAAAAAATTCTGAACTGCAATTCTGACGGAAAAGTCAGAGTCAAAAAATACCTAATGGCTGTCAGAGCCATACATGTGCGAGTAATTTTTTTTTGGCCTATATTCTGAGCAATTAGCCCATCGACTAACTGTATTTGCCATGATTTGATGTGCATAAAAAATGTGCCACTCATGAACAAATTCAAGAGGAAGCTCAACTTTTTGAGAGCAATACTCAAATATGTCGGATAAGAAGCCTATTTAATTGTAAAATATAGAAACGACTACATAATAGCAAGAGAAATAGGATTCAACACGATAAAGATGACTACATAATAGCAAGAGATACAGGATTCAACACAATATGGACTAAAGATCTACATATAACTGATAAGAGAAACAAGCCATTATCTCGTGTCTAAAATCTTATTACGACAATTAATGAGTTTTGAAAAACTAAATCAAATAATTACACAATGAAAATATTGCAGATGCAAGATATGTTTTACGTCAACAACATACAACAAATTTAACATCTTTTTTTCTTTTTCTTTTTCCTTTTTTTTTTTTGCATAAAAGAAACTTTAAAATAACATATAATCCTATCCACATACAAAAGAGATCTCCAAAATGCAGTCTCTATAGACCCATAATGAAAACTTTGTCAATGAAGTTTTCCTCGGTTGCAGCTTCATGCGGTGATGCAGATGCAAAACCAAGAAAGTCAAAACCAAGCTTTGGACACAAAAATTCACAATGAAAATCAATAGATAAAAATAGACCAATCCAGCAAGCCATCTCTAAGCCTATGGTAAAGCCAAGGGGCAGATTTCTGAGAGGCACTGACAAATCTAAACTGCATCCGGAGTCTTTTCAAACATCGGGTTTTCCAGATTATCATATTCTACTTGAGTATATTATTTGTGGAATGCTCAAAAAGATCATTCCAATATTATACAGAAATCTATATAAGTTGCCATCTAAACTGGATATGTTAAATGCAGATCTTGTCAAACATCCAGGATTTCTTGACGACATGAGCAATTTTCTTCCTCTTAAGTAAATTATTGCAGAATGTTCAAAAAGTTTATTGTAATCTTACAATCCAAAATTCTTTAACAAATCTAAGTCATTATATAATTGATGAATTCTGTTACACAAGTTTCAGCTATTTAAATTTTTCAAATTCACCAGAATGGATGTAAAAGGGTTGAAGAATAAGGGTTCTCCGGTATAGGTTTCAAAAAATGACATATTTCCATTCAGAATTTGTCTTGATAGTACTTCATTTGGTACAATAAATGATGCCAATAGAATATTCCAATTTAATGCGTATGGTCCTAATCATCAAATATAATGAACTACAAGTCATAACTTAGGAAATCATGATCGTAGAACTATTGTTCTTGCATGTCTTGATCATCGTCAGCTCAGGTGCAATTACCATAATCCTCAAGAGCAACAAAACTGAACCATTACCATAATCCAGGCTAGTTACTTGGAATTCTACATATTACAATTTAACGCCACTAATTGCATGAGATAATTTAAGAATCCCAATGAGGATCTTATTTCGATTTCTGCGATTATCCTTAAGCTATCTGAGGCACAAAAAGAAAAAAGAGAAATCTTCCAAAATACTATTTACCCATCCATATTTTGACAAAACTTAATCACAAAAAATTATAGTGAAAACAACAAAAGTCAAAATACACTTATTTACTGTTATAAGCATAGTCTTTCGATCTGATTTGTATAAAAACATAACCTTTTTCAAGTTCTCCTTCCAAATTATCACCATTGACATCTCACATATAAATAAGCAATTCATAAATCCAAACCAAAAAAAAACCCAGACCTTAAATCAACTAAAACCAATAAGAATTGCAACTATCTCCCACTATTCGTTAATTTTGACAACCAATCAGCTATAGTACAGAAACAAGAATCCCAAATATTACCATTTTACAACCCATGTACTTACCAGCAAGTAATCAATTCAAAAAACCCATCAAAACCTAGAAGTAAAATCCACCAAAAACCATAAATATCTGAGGATCAACAAAATTCATATAATAAAGGTACAACCTTGGTCCTTGACATACTCAGCAAAGGTGTTGCAGTCTAAGCAGAGAGCCAGATCAGTTAATCCCAGACTCTCACACTCTTTGGTGCTAAATTGCATTTGCACATGAGCAGACCCACCAGTAACAAAACCCAATGTATGGTCATTTCCTGCTACAGAAGTAGGATTAGGATTAGATGTACCCCAATAATAACATATTCATATGAAGAAAAGAACCTTTAAAGTTGCTTAGAAGAAAGAAGAATCCACAAAAAAAAATGGCGATAACAGAAACAAGAGAAGAAATCTATTGAGAGAGTATAAAAGCTAGTCTTAACAACAAAAATCAATCAATAAAAATAATGTCACTGATGAAATTTCCCCAAAGGGAACAAAACATTGTACATATATGTGGAAGCAAATTCTAGAGAAGTTCCTATGCATTATTTTCCAATTTTTCTTTTTTTTTTTTTAAAAAAGCAATATTGGGTCCAACATCAAATGTCAATTGTGTGACGCATAGGAATACTATTTTCTGAACATAATTTTTCCAGTCAAAGATCGAGCCAAGTTTTTTTAGTAATTTAAAAGAGGAAAGATGGTATCTTCATAGTAGATTAAATGGATTTTGCTTTTGAAACTCCATTTATGTAATTCATATAACTATGTATCTCATGAATCATGAACTGATCAAAACATCTTCAAGGAAGTTAGTCATAATAATGATTTCACTTTGCACGTTAAAACCACAAAACCAGAAAAATCGACTATGAAATAAAGATTTCATCATACAGCTTCCCAAATCTTGACATTACGAAGAATACCAAGTAGTTTATATAACAGATTCATTATGTTTGCCAGCCAAGGGAAAAAAAGAAGATACAGAAGAAAAAGATACTTGTAACTAATTTTCTTTGACAAACACAATAAAACCCAAAACACAAAACACTGGAAGAAATTTGCTCATTATTCCAATCACTTTTACCTTTATCCTTTCTCTGACAACAACCTCAATAAACAAAAATAGGCTAAATTAGGTGAGAGAAACCATTTATAGAAAAAGACATTGGTTTATAGTATAAATAGTAGAATACAAATAAATATTACCAGCTTTAACTACTTCTTAGAGATGTCAACTTCAAGTTTTCATATTCCTTCCTGTAACAACAACCAATAATATACTTGGAAAAGTAGCACCAAAAGAACAAAAAAAAAAAGGAAAAAAAATCATCCATCAAATCCTAAACCAGGCGTGGAAGAGGGAAAAATTAAATCAGATTGATGCAGCAAACTTACATTTTCACTCACCAGTTGTTTTTCACAAGTGGCCATTTTTACTCCGAACTCCAGAAGAAATCCAAGACAAAAACGAAAAATGGAACAATAAATCACCAAATAGATACAAAAAAGAAAGTAAATAAATATCTAAAAGCTAGCTAATCATCAATTATTCATCATCTCAGACCATATTAAAAGTTTTTCTTCTGATTAAAAATAAAAAATCAATGATAAAACAGAAATAAAACAGAGACATTAATCATGGAAAGAAAGGGGAAGAAAAGTACCATATATCTGCATTCTAGAAATTCACATCAGATAGTGGAGATGAAATATTGACCTTCCCCGTCCTTATTGTTTCACAAAAGGACACGACAGAGATGAGAAAAAAAAAAGATTTGCTGCTTTTAGCCAATGAAATAGAAATATCAGGAAAATGATAGGAAAACAGAAAAAATTAGCCCTAACTACTCGAGGGAGGGAGGAAGATGAAGAAGAACAAGAGGGAGAACTGGGAGAAACCGGGAGTGGAAGGGGAAGAAGATTACCACCCCTTTTCTGTCTCGAGCCCATCGTCCATCAAATCCTAAGCAACCACTCTGCAGAAGGAAAAATTCGGACCCTCCAATTGAGATTACAATCTCTTCCAAGTACAATCAAATGCCAGAAATTGAGGGGAGACCTCTGGGTCTCATAAAAAAAATGGAGTTTTGTCCAGAGGACAAAAGCAAAGAAAAGCTCTTGACATCGATTGATGCTGCTATGTTTTGAAAGACAGAGAAAGAAGAAAGAAGAGAAGCTGCCGTCGGTTTACCAGGGGAAAGAAAAGACCCTCAATATATGGTTAATAAGCATTTCCACATAATCAAGACCAGCCAATCTTCACACGCCACGTGGGTGTTTAATGGTTAATATATATCAATTACAAAAAATTGATAATTAATTGTGCTTTAAAAACAAAGTGTTCAATAATTGTAAAAAGTTGGTAATTTAAATTTTGGCTAAAAGAGGACATTTTCTTAATAAAATTTGAAAAGAAAAAAGGTAATTAAATGAGATTTTTGGACAAAATTTTTTTTTTGTTAATAATTGCAAAAAAGTTATGAAGTAAATACGATTTGTTGGGTAAAAAAAAATGTCAATAAAAAAAAAGCGTGATTAATTAGTTATTAATAATTAAGTAATAGCTAGTAATAACGAACACAGGTAAAGCAATAAGTACAATAAAATAATAATAATTAATAGTCGTGATTTATTCGGCAACCAAAAGAAAGCACTGATAATTGTACAACGGATGGGCAACATAATAAAAATAAGACAGGCATTATTTAGCCAAGGTACAATAACCTGTCAACAAAAGGAGGTTGATGACAAGTAATGCGAAACGGTGGATGAAGAAATCGAGAAAGTACGGATTTAAACTAAACAAATAAAATTTGTCCATAATTAATTGCAAAGAATTGGTAATTAAAGCATGTTAATTTATAAGATTAGTTAATTATGAGTCAATTAATTATTAAGATGGCCAAAAGCAAAGAAGAAAAGACTAACGAGAAACGTTTTTCTCAAGCGGAGCAATGTAGACATATTAATTGATTAACAATTAACAGCAACAATTTGGTAATTAATTGCGATTCTCTATGCAACAAAAAAGTAACAATACTAATTAATTAATTAGCAATTACTAATTGCTAAAAAGGGCAACCAAATATGATTTGATTGGCAACAAAAAAAAAGAGACTAATTTTTGGCTAATAACTACATACAACTGATAATTCAATGCGATTTGTTAGGTAAAAAAAATATAATAATAATTATAAAGTCGGTAATTAAATGCGATTTGTCCGACTAAAAAACGTGAAACCAGAAGTTAATTAATAAAAAATGGATTGAAAAAAAGTTGATGAGTAAACCTAATTTGTTGGGCAACCCCAAAAAAAAAAAAGAGGACATTTTCGTAAAAGAATGTGGGAAAAAAGGTAACCAAATGAGATTTTTTTGGACAACCAAAAAAAATTTTTTTTGTTAATAATTGCAAAAAAGTTATGAATTAAATGCGATTTATTGGATAAAAAAAGTGACAATAAAAAAATGACATCATTAATTAGTTACTAACAACTAATTAGCAAGTAACTAATAATAATGAATACAGTTAAAGCAATAATTACAATAAAAGATAACAATTAATAATTGCGATTTAGCCGGCAACGTGAGACCAAGTTTTATCGGAACACTCCCCAGCAAACAACAAATAAAGAAACAAAAGCAATTGATAGGCGTCCAAGCAAACGAAAAGGCAGACGTCCAATTGGCAAACGGGCTGGACGACCATCAATTGAGAATTCCCACGGGCCGGACGATCACCAATCAACCAATGAAAGCGAGCCACGTCAGCAATTGAAACCCAATTGAAAACAAGGGCATTCCCCAATAGACTAGATATGTTAATAAATAAATTAGTAGGAATGACACACCCTATATGTGTGTAAATCTTAAAGGAAAATTTTTTAAAACATATATTAAACTTTTTAGTAGTTGTTGGAGGTTATGTTTTAGGAATATGGATAGACGAATTTTGTTTTTTGTTTTTTTTGATAAAAAGTTGTTGGCAATTATTGTATCGTTAGAAGTTTCTTTAGGCTTGGGGTGAGGAGGGTATATACATGTCTTTGTGTGTGTTTATTGTACTCAATAGTTACGTGGGGATGAGAAGTTTAATAGATGTAATGCGGATAGATAATAGTAAATATTAAAAGAGTATATTTGATAAAACAAATAATGATACTTTTTTTAAGAATTAATATTCTATACACTAATAGTGTATACACTTTCATCATTATATACATGATATATAGAAACTCAAATTTTACATATATATCGTATATTCAACCGTGATAGTGTATATACCGTTAATATATATAAGAGTTATTTATTTTTAATACCAAACTTTGGCTCAGGCTTTACATGTAGAAAGATATAGAAGAAAATAATGAGTAAAAATTGCTTTAGTGAATTTTTCGACATTTATCATTGGAGCATTGTGCAGATGATTATCACGGGGCTTGTACGTCTGAGGCTATGAGCACTAAGGTTGTTCTTTGTCTATCCACTTCTCAATGGCATGGCCAATTGGTAAGTACTGTTAGAGAAAGAGAGCACTATGGATTAAAATAATAATAATAAAAGCAAAAACTTCCAGGTCAAGAGGTCTTTTCAGTTTATATTACATCACAAAAGAAAGTAAAAAAATAAATGGCCCTTGTCGGGGTTTCAATCCCACATCGGTACCGGGGGGGAAGGGTTTGGGTAGATAAGTCCCCTGGGCGCCTTCAAAAGTTGCCGGCTTTTGAAGGTTGCTCGGGGATCTAGGTTTATTTGCCGAAGTTCTTACTTTCGTAAGAAAATGTCAGGAAGAAACATTCCACTGGGGTCGTCTAGCTTGGGTTTGTGGGGGGTAGTTACTTCTTAGCAGCAACAGCCCATGGAGGCTTGGCCCTTGTCGGGGTTTCAATCCCACATCGGTACTGGGGAGGAAGAGTTTGGGTAGATAAGTCCCCAGGACGCCTTCAAAAGTTGCCGGTTTTTAAAGGTTGCTCGGGGATCTAGGTTTATTTGTCGAAGTTCTTACTTTCGTAAGAAAATGTCAGGAAGTAAAAAAATAAAAATTCAGACATCACAATTATGCTTTGGATTGACTCTCAAATAGTTTTGATTAGTAATCAGGAGTAGAGGTGCTATCGAGCCGAGTCGAACTCGAGTAGCACCATACTCGAGCTCGAGATCGATCGAGGAAAAAAATTTGGACTCGAGCTCGACTCGATGAAATAAAACTAAACTCGAGCTCGACTCGTTTGAGCTCGAGTAAGCTCGAGTAAATATCAAGCCCGAGCTACTCGAGCTCGAGCTCGAGTTTTGAAATAAATCTATAATTTTTTTTAAAATTATATAATATATAATATAATATAAATATATAATATAAATAAAATATGAAAGCTCGATTAAGCTCGGCGAGCACTCGAGTACTTATTTATTAAGCTCGAACTCGACTCGTTAAATTTAACGAGTAGCTCGAGCTCAAACTCGAGCTCGATTTTACCGAGCTTGAGTCAAGCTTTTGATCAAGCTGCTCGCGAGTAGCTTGCGAGCAGCTTGAAACTCGCGAGCAGCTTGACTTGCTAGCACCCCTAAATTCAGGAGGAGGTGGCCATCGCTAGTCGGACTATTGATTTAATTTCTTTTGAAGCAAATGGCTCCAATTTTCTTCAATTTTCACAAGATTATTACAATAAAAAGGCAAACATTTTCTTTATAATTAGAACCAAAATTTGTTGATGTTTCTACTAATTTATAGGAATAAAGCAATTTGCGTGCTACTGCAATAAAAATGGAATTATAATGTACTCACATACTACTACAGGAAGCTTAGGAATTAGGGGTTCTGAGTTCTAATCTCCATGTCTCTTCCTTATATTTCAAATTCACCCTCTTCTAATGTTTTTTTTTCTTCTAAATATTACATTAGGAAGCAAAGTTTCTAATAGGATATGAATTGTAAAACTATTGAGAATATGAGGAGTACATTGCAAATTTATTTTTTGTAATTAGCATAAAGCCATTTTTTTTGTAATACTCAATATGGTTGAAAATTCTATTTTGTTTTGATTAATTATGGCAACTTGGGCATGGCTAGTCCAATGATTGATTTCATTTCGTCTGAAGCAAAACATACCTCCAATATTCTTCAATTTCATAAGAAGCTTACAATCAGCAACACAATTAATTTTCCTTCTTAATTAAAAAGTCCGAGAACCAAAATGCAGTAATGCCTCCAGTCATTTCATGGAAAAAAGGGATTTGCATATTATCCCTAGAATGGAGTTGTGATGCATGGACCTTTTACAACAGTTCGCAAATTTTCTAGGGTTATGAATCATAAAATTAGCAGAATATTACTAATTTGGATTTGAATTGATAAAAAAAATACTATAGCGATGTGATGTATGCAAGAAAAGGTGATCCAAAAATATTCTAAAAAACTTTTCCACAAACTTTTCCGAAAATGGATCCATTTTTAAACGTCACAGAATTAGCCTTATCTAGGTTTAATTGGCTACTAGTAAAACAAAAACTTGGCTTTAGCATGCTTAAAATGACTGAGAGGTAGACTCTCAGATGGTCCACAGGGACTTCTATAACTGTCCTGATCATTCCATTTCAGTGAATTAAATTGAATTTTTAAATGAACGGAGCCTCTTTTTATTGCTTTTCATTTAGAACCACGCAACAAATGGCTGGAATTTCCAGCTATACTCCTAAAGTAACTCCTAGGACCAAAGCCGCCTATA